ACACCTTTAGGGGACAGGAGTTCAATATCTGGAGGCTGAGAAATTGGCAGGCACCAGAGTAGAAGCCACCAGGACCCTGCCCTATAGCTCCCTCCTACCCTGCCACTGCCTGCAGGGCATCCCAACCCCCCCACCCCTCCACCTCCACCCCCCGGCACACAGCAAGAATCAGACAAGCCCCACTCCCAGTAACAACAACTGGATCTGGTCCAAGAAAAATGCAGGCCCATAAAAGAGGACTTATTTTTTTAAAAAACTGAATACAGTGGAAAGATTTATTAGTCAGTACAAGTTGGTTTTGATCAACTATTGCCTACTTGTGACGGTAGCCAGAGACCTATGGCTTTAATAACAGTGAGCAGTATGGTACTGAGGAAGGCAATTGCAGTTAAAATGTTCTTTCATGCCCTGCTCTGTGTTGCTTGGAAATTACTGGCTGTTTTACTTCTGCACTTTAGAGCTCTGGATGCAATTGCAGGACACCTCCCACAATTCATGAACATTCTGCATTCATAGCAATTCAGACACTATAACTTTCCCACTAAATTAACTGCCTGGAGTAGGTTTCAAAATCAAAGGATTTTGCTAACATCCACAAAGATGCGTAGTTTCTCTTCTACTAGAAAGGCAAATCCTATGAATGCAGAGAATCTACAAAAGCTGTAGGATTCATGTTTATTACATCTTAGGGTCTATGGTAGTTTAGGAATCACTTAAATGTCTCCGTTCCAGTGAAGGGATCCCCAGGAGAGCAAAACAGTGATTTCTAAAAAGCATTAACAAAGAAGTGGAAAAAATGAAGCAGAGCTAGAGTTTTCTGTTCAACATTTCCACATACCACTATTTCTCATTTTAGGTGAATCGTCTTAATATGATAAAATGAATCATTACATTTAATATCTCGAAAACGGTGGAAATATGATTATAGCTTCAGATTTTAAAGAAACTGTCAGAGAAAGATGGTTTCCAATGTTATTATTTATCCTATTCATAACAGATTTTATAGGGAAAGAAGCAGCTATAGCAGTACTTACAAAAGCAAACAAATTTGGGATTAAAACAATGAGTCATTTTTTTATTGACTTACTTTAATATAGTTTAAACCCCATACATTTCAAATATTCCATGCAGACTTTCCCCATATTCTTGTAATTATACTCCAAGTACGATTAGTGAACATAAATAACATTAGGGAATACTGCTCTTTCAAACTGCTCCTACTTAGTTACCATACAAGATAATAAAGAAAAGCATGGATATGAATAATTGAGAGTGGACATCTATCTCTGGCCAGGGGTCACTCTCAGGGGTGGCTTTTGATGCCATCTCAGTTTCAAGTCCTCCATGGGCCCTAATTATTCTTATTACCAGTGGCCTTACCCCATATATGTGCACAAATAATAAAACATAACAATACACCATAGAAACTAGAATTTTTCTGGAAGAAAAGTTATAATTTTGCTTTTAAAATTATTTGGCAAGAAGCCACACATTTAGTTTACGATTGGCTCTTATTTCTCAGCAGTCACTGTATATATTCAGAAACTGTGCAGAATGAGAAAATAAGACCTAAATGTTGTTTGCAAATGAACTGAAAAATTTATGAAGACTAAATTGACGGGGCGCCTGGGTGGCTCAGTCGTTAAGCGTCTGCCTTCGGCTCAGGTCATGCTCCCGGGGTCCTGGGATCGAGCCCCACATCAGGCTCCCTGCTCAGCAGGAAGCCTGCTTCTCCCTCTCCCACTCCCCCTGCTTGTGTTCCCTCTCTCGCTGTGTCTCTCTCTGTCAAATAAATAATAAAATCTTAAAAAAAAAAGACTAAATTGACCATGAAGTTGTTACGATGTTAAATTTCAAAGATATTTAATTAAATATGTATTAACTTTTGTTGTAAGTTTTTTCAAATTTGAATTTTAAGAATTTTTCAAATTTCTTAAAATTTAGAGTCTCAGATATTTTGTATATCTGATATAATCCCTTTTACAGTCCACCGAGGTTTTTTGGGGGGACCCATGTGGCCAATCTCTAGAAAGAAGCCTGCTTTCAGATCACAGACCCTTTTTAGAATGTGGTCTGCGGGGAAAAAAATTATTATCTCTCAAATTACATACTATTTTTTTTTAAAACCAGAATAATCTTATCTCAAAAAGCTGTGCTTTTTTCTTCCCCTTAATTCAATTAAACATATTTATTATGAGCTCTTAAAAAGCATTCATTGACCATTTCACATTCTGGATGAATGATGTATCCCCTCAAGGTACAAAGAACATCGATAGATGTTAAATGTGAAAACATCCTTCGCATACTGCCACTGAGATGCACAAATAATTTTGACGTTGATGGGTTAGGGTGGAAAGGCCACTGGAGAAGTGGGTTTCAAAAGGAAATCCTTGCTCTCCCAGATAAAAACGAGATCCTAAAATAAGGTTTCAAGAACTATTTTTTTTTAAAGAAGAGATCTTAGTGGGAACATTTTTTTCCTGTTTTTTCTACTTTACCTTTTGAATATATAATATATATAACATTTTCAAACATCTAGTTTCACTATTAACTCAAGGAAAGAATCAGACTCCACTGCATGTCATAACATATTATATCTTCAAATAATTCACATAGAAATTTCAGAATCCCAGATCATTACAATAAAATTCCCTGTTCAGGAATGCAGAGGGAAGAAAATAATTCTGAATTGGTGACAATTTAAATAAAATGCTTTAAGGCAATAGTTATGTTACTCTTAAGTACTAGAAGTCACATCAATGGCTTCAAGAAAAAATATAGTTTATGTGGGCTGTTGCTATATTTTATTATTTTTTAATGGAAGTAGGGCAAAGCCACCAATAATTAGAATGATAGAACACATGAAGGGTATAAAACTGCTAGATCAAACACTATCCCTAGGATCGTACATGAGTTGCTTTATGAAATAGATAGACTCACTTATAGTTAGGAGGTTATATAAAAAATGTATGCTGCTAGAGTGCTTTTAAAGGCTCTCAAAAACCATGTGCTTCCCTAAGTAAGCTAAACAACCACTAACAATCTTGTTCAGATTACTAATTTCTTAGAACGACATCCCCCCATCCCTACCATTTTCCCCCAAGAGGTCAGATTTCAACCAGCTCTATGTTAACATGCATTCTGGCTCAGAATAATATGAATATAAATGGTATATTCAGTATTTAATTTTTCCATCTTGCCAACAAGATGTCTTAAAATTTAAACTTGAAAAAAGCAATATAGTGCTTATATGTTTAGGGATAGCATGAGAATCTGAGAATTGTATCATAAAGTGTATCTGCTCTGTTAGCTTTTTGTAAGGTTAAAGTATTTTGACCTGAAGAAATACATTCTTTTTTAAGTTACTGTTTTTCATTTAATTTTCACAGAATTTTCTATGTTTTATTAACCTGAGATAATTTTTTCTAGCTCCATCCCTGTTGTTGTAAGTGCCAAGATCTCGTACTTTTTTATTGCTGAGTATAGTCCATTGTATAAATATACCACATTTTCCTTTTTTTTTTTTCCCTCAGATCTAGGGTTCAGGTTTGGGTTCGGGTTAGGTTTAGGGACTGGTGAGGGTATGTGTCTGGTATCCTGCAGTTCAGAGACCTAACCTGAGACAATTTCGTACCTCAGGTTAGGTCTCTGACCTGAGACAGGATGCCAAGTCATAAGAATTATTTTCTTTTATTATTTCATTTTATTTTATTTTTTAAGGAAGCTCCACACCCAGCTTGGAGCCCAATGAGGGGCTTGAACTCACAAGCCTGAGATCAAGACCTGAGCTGAGACCAAGAGTCAGATGCTCAACCGACTGAGCTACCCAGGAGCCCCAAGAATTCTTTTATTTTTAAAATTTTTTTCCAAGAATTCTTTTAAATAAATGGGAAAACAAAGCTTTTTTCAGGCCTGACATACAATGTTCTTTATTTATAGCAGCTCCTTCTGCCAAATTCTACTACTAAACCATATCATATCAATGTCATGCTAATCAGAGGCACTAAAGTAACCTGTATCAATTATTAAAATGTCACATCCTGTTTTCCCCCCAACTTAATCAACTTCCATTTCAGCTTCCACTAGCATAACAATTTTAAAGTATGGATTTAATCAAAGCAAATTTTAATATTTCCCTTCAAATTTTGACAGTTTTGCTTACAAATGAACAAGGTTGAAAAACGTTAGCAAGGAATTGTACTTGCTGAGTCAGGGATTTTATATTATGCTACTATTTGACCTAGTAATTACACTTTCAGAAATTATGCAACACTATAGTGATTATCAGAAAAGAAGAAAAGACAACACAAAGAAAGATGTTCAATACAGCATTATTTATAATCATAAATATTCGAAAAAGACTAAGAGTTCTAGGATGGGATAAAAATTTTTAGAGGCAGAGTTAAAGTGAACAATGCTTGTGAGACAAGTTTAAGGAAAAACAGCAATACAGAGTAAGCTGAATTGTTTCAGAAATCTAAAATGCTTGCCAAAAGGAAAAAGTCCTATATACTATAAAATTAATGTTGTATTGCTAAAGGGTGGGAGTATAGAATCTTTACAGACTTCCTTATATTTCTGGCATTTAAGTTAAATTGATCACCTACACATTACTTGTATCATCAAAAAATTATTTAAAATGGAAGATTTATCTTTAAAAAAAATCATATCTAAATTTGTTCTACTTTAGGGGGCTTCCATGTTTATTTATTTTTAAAATTTAAATTCAACTAGCCAACATATAGTACATCATTAGTTTTTGATGTAGTGTTCAGTGATTCATTAGTTGCATAACATCCAGTGCTCATCAGATCACATGCCCTCCTTAATGGGGCCTCCATGTTTAATGACAAGAGTTGGCACTGTGTATCCTCAAACAATGCACGAGCTTATTTTGTAACCCCCTCCCTAGGACTATCATCACAACCACTCCATTTTTTTCTTAATATTATATACCAATTCTTGCTCTCTTAAATAGTAGCATTGCAAATCTTTCTTACTTTACCACAATATTTCCTAAACATCGAGCCTTCAGTTTTTGCATGTTGTCATCCAAAATCATAACTGCAAAGTAAAATATAAACAAACAAATAATATAAATTTGAATAAAAATGCATACCCTTAAAGCTTAAACTTTTCCATGTTTCCTATATCCAACCCCCAAAATTGTAGCTTCACAGGCATCTTTAAATTTCTATGAGACCGTGAACATATAACTATGCTAACATGTCTCACAAAAAATTAAAAGAGCACATGCTTTGATTCTTAACAAGATCATGAATTTTCCCTGAGAACCCCCCTTAAGTAAAGACATTGCATTTCAAACATGCTGTTAATTTCATAACCCATGTTTATAGCCACTTCAACATTGCCTTCTAGTCTACCAAAAACATTAAAAATATATGCAGCTTTTCAAAAATTAAAGGAAACAAATCAAGTTCTAAAATATACCAAAAAATATTTCAAGCAATAAAAATAAGGTATTTAAGCCTGGGAAACCCCTTCTTCTGATTTAAAGCTTAATATCCACTTCTGAGCCTTCAAGATCCATTTAATTCCCAAATATTATCCCAGTGATTTCTGTTAAAATACACTGTTAAAATCCTGAAAGATTTTAGGAGGTCGAAGCTTGAATCCACATTCAGTAACCCCTAGTGCAAGCTGGAAATGAGGATATATCGTCATGTTTTAAGCTCTCATTGATCCTTTATGTGGCTTCATCCATCCAGGTTGTTCTACTGAGCGAGGCTATGAGAAAAGAAGGACACTGTCCCCAGAAAAAATTAATCGTTCCTTTCTTTGTGTTCCCAGAGCACTTTGTTTTAAAGTTCTATTCTGACAATTAGTAGTGGTATAAATATTCCTCTCACAAGACTAGAAGGTCATTAAGATTGGAGGTCTTGCCTCACTAATGTTTGCTTCCCCAAATCTCAGTACAGTGGCCAATTTACTCTGCTCCCCTGTACAAGTATTACGCCCTCAATTTCTCCAGATAAAAAGTGGGAGCGATTCTTTTCTCAGTGTTGTTATAAGAATCACCTGAAGAAAAAAGTGACAAGCTTGTGTAAGGTACTCAATCAATGTGAAACTGTTACATCACATTGAGTATTTTTCACACACACAAAAATGGTTTTCTTTCCTTTCCCAAGTGGATACCGCTTTTTTATTATACTACTGAATACTACATTATGTTTCTGAATCTCTGACTAACCACAAAACATAAAAATCATGAGTCATAAAGTCACTACTTCCTTGGTTATAGATACTTTAGTTCTAACGTTTAACCTATATACTGTCTGTCAGCCAAGGGCTTTCGGACAACGAGAAATTTCTGTGTTGAAATTTCATGAGGCATCAAAGCTTAACTCTTTCTTATAGCTCAATATGAAAATGCTGAAAGGGAAATGTATTTAACATCTCCCACAAACATCAGCCCCTAAAAATGGCTCAACACAAAGCAATTTTTCCAATAAAAGGAGCAAGGATGACAGAACCGTTCAAAGTGAGGATTTCACTAGAGCTGGGTTCACCTCCCCATGCTTGGAAAAGTCACTGACTTCACAGAATATCTATTTCTGCCCTAAAAAAAAAAAATCTAAAGTTTCTTTTTACAAATACATCTGCTAGGCTAAGTCAAATGATCCACGTTTCCTTAACTAATCATTGTCCTAGAAAGAAAAGACAGTATTTTTATGTCAGAGAGGCAGAGGATATATATTTTATATATTCTCTATATTTTATAATTTACATGCAAATAGAAACTATATGTAGGAACCGTTTTCTGTCTCCCAAAGATGGGTTTTCCTCATAAATCTATTAAGCTAAATTGTGTGACCTTATGCATATAAAATAACTTCTGTTCTTCATATTCCCTGAAATAGCACCACACGACAAGCTAAGACTTAGTTCAGTCTGGTTACTGGCAAGTGCTTCTGTTAATGCTTCATTGTGTTACATCATGACCCTATGAAGCATGTGGAATTATTATTCCCATTTAGAAATAAGGAAATCGAATTTCTGAAAAGCTAGGTGACTTGTATGTTATGCAACTAGCAAGTGGAGCCCATGGAAAATTACTGAACTATTATAGCCGCTACCAACAATCTAGAGCAAATACTTAAAATATATTATATCCCATCATCACATACCACCAGCATGGATGAAGTGATTTTTCTATTTAGAATCTTTATTTATTTTGAATCTTTACTTTTTATACTTATCTTCAGCCAACAAGGTTCAGAAGCCTTATCATCACTCCTAAATTAAACGGTGGCATATATATAATGGGAAACACTGCAACTTTCGTAGCAAAAACACACAAAGAAACAAACAAAATAAAACGTTGTCTCTAGGCGCTAATCAGCCGTATTACCTCAAGAAAGTGATTCAATCTCTCCGGGCACCAGTTAACTCATCTTTAGAATGGTAATGATACCTCTGAATTAAATATAACTCATCATTAAATGAAATGATGTATGCAAAGTACTCTGCACCTAGCAAGGATTCCATACATATTAATTTCACAGCCATATCCTTAATGTACCCTATAAATACTATTTTCCTGGTTATGACAGCCATTTAGAACATGTCCTTGGAAGTCGACAATCTTATTTTTGATCCAATTGACTAATAACAAAATTAAGGCATTTATTTATAGTACGAAGTATTCATTCAGTCAAATACTTTTAAGCACCTACTGTGCAGTTTGATTGGCATTAGACATGGATAAATACCAAATTTATTAACCTTACATATTCCAAATAATCAGGGTCATTTCTCACCATTGTATCCTGGAACACTTTTTCCTGCTTGTCCTGGAGGAGGTGTTTTAGAATTACCTAATCCAATGCATGATGCTGTAATTGGGGATCCAGTCTCTGGAGAAATAAATATTATTTATCATTTAATACTTAAACTCGAAATCATGATGTTTCTTCGATGTATGCCCTGCCCCCTACCCCCAAGTTTGTCATAGACTTTAACTGCACGACGAATAGATGAGGAGTGGAAATGTATTCTTTAAAAATGAAAAAAAGATCCAGTAATCGATACCAGATCCAACAGTCTTAAAATCTAAGGACACAAATTGATAATAATGTATAGAGTAACGCTTCTTTTAAAGAAAAGAGAGGTGTCTCTAATGTTCTTGGTTATGAATCAACAGGCATGAAAAATATAGAATTATGTGGCTGTGAGAATTTTACAACACATGATAAAAACTCAAAGATCTTTAGAAAAGATGCTCTCTCTTAATTCACCTAAAGATTTTTATCATGGTAAATAATAGCTACGTGCAAGATATTTCTGTTATTTATGGCTTAATCTCTGGAATAAGCAACCCAAAGATTTTGGGGAATATATGAACAATATCAACTCTAATTTTGAAAGAACTACAGCTGCCTAGAGAGCTTGCATTTACAGCTGAACTTAACAATGCTCTATCAAATTGCTCTCAATCTGTTGTCCCTAGGCTCCTAGAAGGCAGGCAGACAGGGCAAGCAGGCAGGCAGGAAGGGAAGAAGGAAGGAAGGAAAGAAGGACATTTATGCTATGCTGATTATTTCATCAAGACCAGAGACTTTGCCACAATTAACCTGCATGGATGAGCAAACATGATAAAATCATTTTCTCTGTCTCAAATTGTTAATAGTCAGAACAATAGCAGCTATTATATGATAGCTGTACGTGCTGAAAGTGATTATTTTTATGGACAAATGCATTTGTTATTATGGGTGAACACAAGTTTGGGGTTAGCAGAATCTTTTAAATATGAGATTTGCATGTGTGGAGGAGCAGGGTAAGAGGTACTGACTGTGAAAAGTTTTGGAACTAGTAGCTTAATATTATACACACAAACATACAGTACATATACCCAAGGGATTAACTGCCAAACCACTGGATCCAAAGTAATCCAAAATATTTAAAAAAAATCTATCTTCCTAAGGACTCAAAATGTATTCTTTCTACTATGGCTTCTATCATAACTTATCGTACATTTATATCACTTTAGAATGGTGGGAAGAATTTATTACTGTTCTTTACTTTCCAGAGTAGTTTGGTTTATGATTCACATTTTATGGATGGTGGCTCACCTGGCATCAATAACGGAGGATGGACTCTGGAACATTAAAACACAGTTCCTAAGTCACAGTCCAGTGCTTAAGATGCTAAGCCATATGGTCACCGCTGAGGAGAAGCAGCAAGTCACCAGAGCAGACATTTCGGATGTTTAACAAAGAACTTTCAAATGGCTTCATACCATGACAAATGTTTCAAATGTGTTCATACCATGACAAAAAATGGACAGGTATTATACAAAATGGCATTCCATCAGTCACGCAATCCCCCTGTCTTCTCTCCCTACAGCACAAGCAAAGCAGGGAAGGAAACCCCCATATTTGGAAAGGTTAGCAACATTTTTCCCTTTGCCTTTTAAAAAATGTCTCAGTAATGACTCAGCTGTCCTCCAAACTGACAGAGACAAGAGCAGTGTGGTACCAGGAAGCAACCCCCTGTTGAGTTTGAGTGAGGAGCTTAAAGGAAGGTGTGCTGACAGAGCAAGGTGACTACAGTCACAGAAGCTACTAGGACACAGGACACAGGGAGATGTCCCCCTTATGACGCTTCTGTTCCCCCTCACACCCTGGGCGGGGGAAGCAACTGCTAAAGCACATCTTCCATGTTCAAAGTGTGTCTCATCAGGTTTAGTTTCTCACCAGAGGCACTGCAATCATTTCAAGTTCAAACTCTCTACATTTCTTAACACCATAAAGCCTCTCAGCAACGTGTCAACAGATGGCTCTAGAACCTACAAACAAACCTTCCTGAAGATGGCTTCAGGACCTGCTGTCTGAAAGAGAAACAAACACAAAACCACCACAACAAAGCTCTGACTGCACTCTGCTGCATCTCATGTCCCTGTGGATTCTTAGGAAAGATGCGGACACTCTGTTCTTCTTCCTCTAACATTGGGAGAAAGGAGATATGGGAAGAGGAAGCGAGAATAAAACCTCGTCTTAAACGAAGACACAGGAATGAGTTAGTGATGTGGTCAGTTTGTACCGCCTGCATCTTTGTATAGTGATTACATAGTTACCATCTTGAACCCTCAGCTGTTTTGTTATAATTAATGATTGTAAGACATATGAACAGCACATTCTTCTACATGATTACTTTGACTGAATTTTAATGGCAATAAAAAGGATTATCCACTAGTAGACAAGTAGGCAATATAAGTCATTGGGGTATCTCGCTGACTTTAGCTGGATATTCATTTGGGGGTTTGGAAGAAGAACTGTTGGTAGTGACATGTAAAAGATACATTCAGGCGAAATGACAGTTCCTTGGCTCCACACAGGGAGCCATAGTTAGGATAAAAGTGGGATGAGAACTTTGGTTTTCTCTCTTTATATCTCTGAACATCCTGAGACCCAAAGAATGTACTGATCCACCTGCACGGCAAGCGCACGCCCGTGTGCTCACACATCCGTGTGCTCACACGTTCACGCACACAGATCACAACCACCCCGGCTCTCAGGCTGGTCCATGTGCAGAATAGGTTTCTGTCTGGGACAAGCCATCAGGCATACTGCCGGCCTTAACCAAACTTCTAAGGATTCCCAAAGCCCCACTGCAAATATATTCTAAAATCATCTGCTTCACACTGCCCAAGCTATAATTAACCGGCTAGCAGTTATCTAGGGAGATGGGAAATCCGGATGTCACCCTGTGACCGGGAAATAGCTGCAAACTAGAACATTCTCTCTGAAGAACAGAATTGGATGCTTCATTTGGAGAAATCTTTCCAAAGATACCTAATCTTAGAAAGAGACACCCAGGAAGAAGATGGCAGGGAACTGAAGCTTGTGAAGAATGCGTTATTTTGGTACATTTATATTCATAACTGCATTAATGGCGAATGCAGACGCTTCACTTTACTGCCTCTCTACCTCATTGCATTAGTGAACTGTTACCTAAAGGAATTTTCCTTAAAACTGCTAACTCTAAAGGAAGAAAAGGAATGAAAATGAATATACATTTTTTTCAAATATGAATTATGCTGTGTACTATGCTAAGTGCTTTTTGTTTATATTATTGCATTTAATCCAACTACATAGGGAGATAGGGAGAAAAGGGAATATTCTTTTTACAAATGAAAACTACTAACGACTAACCTAGAAAATTTAAACCACTTGCACTGGTTTGCATAGTTCTTACAGACAGGAGAAGAATGAAATAGACAAGTGTACCAGTTGTGAGGTTCTTAGGGAGAATACATAGGGCTGAAGAGAAATCACCCAGACTGTGTCTCAGAGGAAGAAAAATCCTTGCAACAATGAGTGAGTCCAGTCTCTCATATTCACAAATGGAGGTACTGGTGGGACATATCTCTTATTAGCAAATATTTATTGAGCAGCTATTACAGGATAGGTGCTCTCATTAGAACTGGGGATAGAATAGTAAACAAAAGTGACCACAATTCCTATGGTCAAGGAGCTCACATTCTAGTTGGAGAGACAAACAATAAAAAACATAAATAAACCATATGGCATGTTAAAGAGTGATGAGCACTAAGAAAAATTTTAAAAAGCATAGACAGGGAATGAGATGTGATGGGGAAAAATTGCAATTTTTGACTGGGGGGCCAGAAAGGCCTCTCTGGGAAGGCAACATTTAAGTAAAGACCTGAAACAAGTGAGGACAGCTGTCACGTGACATCTAAGGACAAAGAACCCATGAGAAAGGAACCACAGCTGCAAAGGTCCTTAGGTAAGCTTATTCCTAGAGTATTTCAGGAATAGTTAGGCAGCTGGTGTTACTGAAGCAGAATAAATGAGGAAAGTATTAACAGGAAATAAGCTCAGATAGGTAGCGAGGAGACAGATCATTTAAAACTACTTTGAAGTCCTTGTAAGACCTTAAGCTTTCAGTCTGAGTGATCCTGCAAGCTAATGAGGGCTTTTGAACAAAAGGTTAATGAAGCACAACAATGCACATAAAATTTATGTAAATATTTGTACAACATCCATTGTCTGCAATCAGGTTTATTTTAGTTGGGGTTTTGAGAGAGATGCGTATGAGAAAATTCATGGACAGATAGATGCTGTATTAGAATAGTTGTTTCATATTGAGATTTCTGTGGCTTCCTGAACATGAGGAACATGAGAATTCACTAGACTAGCAGAAAGACTAGGGTGCAAGGGAGACAGATTGCCCACATAAGCCAAAGACAATCATTTTTTTTACGTAAGTGTTAGTGTGTATATAGATCAACACAACATTTCTCAAAGGCAATCTGGCAATTACAAAAGTCCTTAAAAATGTACATACTCTTTAACCCAGTTGTACCACTTTAAGGGATATATATATAAAGGAGTATTTGTAGGAGTTCACAAATATTAAGCATCAAGGATATTTATCACAATATTGTTTATATTAATGTTTAGAAGATTGTCCAAAAATAGAGATTATTCTCTATTAAGAATTAATGCATAGTTATTCAAACAACATAGAAAAATGTCTGATAGGAAATAATTCTCACAAAATATTTAGAAAATCTGTAAAACAGAATGCATAATATGATTCTTTTTTGTAAATACTATGCATTGAACAAAAATATGTATCTTGGTAAGATACACATGAAAATATTGACAGAAGTTATTTATGAATGGCGAGCGAAGGGGAAATTATGTTGAAGAATTCAGAAGGCTACATCCACAACTTTGAAATTTACCCACGGTGGAGATTAAGGATGGCTGCAATTTATTTGAGCCTCATGTTCCTGAAAGGTGTGACCTATGTCCTCTCTATTGGAATCTGGGCCACTTTTTTATGACTCTGACTAAGAGAAAAGAGTGGAAGTGATTCTTTGTTTCCA